GCACATGACCAACCTGGATTCAATCCCCAGCACCAAATACATTAGACCCATGCCAGAAGTGACCCCTGAGCACGGAGCGAAGAGTAAACCCTGAGCACAGATGGATGTGGCCCAAAAGCAAAGAGCTAAAATAGAACAACAGCATGTTAAAAGCTAAGAGAGAACAACAAAAACAAAGTAGGAGAATGAGAGATAGGATTATTTGAAAACTGAAATGCCTCAGATATTAGATACTTAAAAGTTATTTTAGAATATCAAACTATAAGGAATACAGGAAAAATGAATGTTTACAATTAATTTCTTTTTGTTGTTTGTTTTTGTTAGGTTTCATGTTTTTTGTTTTGGTTTGGAGGCCACACTCAGAGGTGTTCGGGGCTTACTCCTGGCTCTGTACTCAGGTACCACATTTGGTGGGACTCAGGAACCATGCACAATGCCAAGGAACAAACCTGGATTGGCTGACCAAAAAGCAAGAGTCTTACCCACTGCACTATCTCTCCAATACCTATAATTTCTTTTTTTTGTTGTTTTTTGCTTTTTTTTTTTTGCTTTTTTGGTCACACCCAGCGATGCACAGGGGTTACTCCTGGCTCATGCGCTCAGAAATCACTCCTGGTGGTGCTCGGGGGACCATATGGGATGCTGGGAATTGAACCAGGGTCGGATGCGTGCAAGGCAAATGCCCTATCCGCTGTGCTATCGCTCCAGCCACCCCCCCTTTTATTTTTTGCTTTTTGGGTTACACCTAGCAATGCTCAGGGGTCACTCCTGAGTCTGCCATCAGGAATTATTCCTGGTGGTGCTTGGGGGACCATATGGGATGCCGGGGAATGAACACAGGTTGGCCACGTGCAAGGAAAACACCCTACCCACTTGTGCTATCACTCCAGCCTCACCTCCAATACCTATAATTTCTTGAGAGTCACTGTCACTGTCAACTGTCCTCCCATTGTTCATCGATTTGCTCAAGCAGGCCCAGTAACATCTCCATTGTGACAACTGTTACTGTGTTTGGCATATTGAATACGTCACAGGTAGCTTGCCAGGCTTTACCCTGCGGGCGAGATACTCTCAGTAGCTTGCCAGGCTCTCCAAGAGGGGCGGAGGAATTGAACCCGGCTCGGCAGGGCAGGCTGCGTGCAAGGCAAATGCCCTACCACTGTGCTATCGCTCTTGAGAGTAAAAAAAGGAAAGATTTAACAACCCAAAAATAAACTCAAAGATGGGATCTGAGATATGTAAAGAATAACATCTAACAGTAGGAATAAGAAAACATGTCCACATTTATCACTGTTATTCAATATATAATTGAGATTCCTAGCAATAAGATAAAAAAAAATGAAATAAAATATATCCAAACTGGAAAGGAGAGAGTCAAAGTAACACTGAAAATCCGAATATTCTAATGAAAAACTTAGAAAATAGATAAACATAAAATAAAGTATAGTGATACATAACTAATGCAAAAAACTTATGTTTCTGAGTACAAATAATGAATCAGTGAAAATAAAAATAAGGAAAACATCATAATTGCAATTACATCAAAATAATTAAATACCTTGGAATAAATTGAAATATCTGTACATTGAAAATGTAGGACATTGTTTAGTAAATAGAAAAAAATAGATAATCAGTGATTATGGGCTGGAAAAAAACAACATTGTTAAACAGACCATGTCATATAAGCAACATGAAGACTCATGCGATTTCTCTCAAAATTCCAACTGCATTCTTTTAAGAAATAGAAGCAAAATTTTGTACAAAAAAAGACCTAGGTAACCAAAACAATAGTAACCAGAACAGTATGCTACTGGATAATAAAAAAAAAGACCTCAGAGGGCAGAAATGAACCTAAACATATAGACAAATAATTTACAACAGTGGAATCACGTAGACAATGGAGAAATTACTTTAATAAAAGGTGTGGAAAACTGAACAGACACATACATAAGAATGAAACTAGATTACTAACACCACTGTCCTCCCGTTGTTCATCGATTTGCTGGAGCGGGCTCAGTAACATTTCCATTTTGATGTTGTTACTGTGTTTGGCATATTGAATACTTCACGGGTAGCTTGCAAGGCTTTGCTGCGTATATACTCTCGGTAGCTTGCCGGGCTCTCCAAAAGGGACGAAGGAATCAAACCCGGCTCAGCCAGGCTGGCTGCGTGCAAGGCAAATGCCCTACTGCTGTGCTATCGCTCCAGCCCATTACAAACACCATGCACCAAAATTAATTCTAAATGGATGAAAAACAAATCTAATACTCAAAGTAATAAAACACATAGAATAAAATACAGGAAATATGCTCTATGACATCCATCAGACTTGGAGACGTATTTATAGGTTCAACTATACTGGCAAGGGAAACAAAAACAAATATAAACAAATGGGACTATCCAAATAAAAAACCTATAGAGAGAAACTATAATCAAAGATAAGTGCATTCTACTAAATGGGAGAAGATACTTGCACATCATACACTAGATTATAAGTACAGTTGACAACAAGTAACAAAATTTTATTTTTTCTATTTTTTTTGGGGGGGAGGCACATCTGGCAGTGCTCAGGATTTACTCCTAGTTCTGCACTCAGGGATCACTCCTGGTGGTGCTCAGGGGACCATATGGGATGCCAAGGACTGAACCCAGGTCAGGTGCATGCAACACAAGCACCTTTTCCACTGTACTACATCTCTAGTCCAAAAAATCTGGTTTTAAAATTAACTGAATAGAAACATCCTGTAACAATGACATACAAAGAAGCAACAGGTACACAAAAAATGTTCATCATTTATAATTACTAATTAAATGAAAAAATAACAAAATATTTCATCAGTAAGAATGACTATTTAAAAGATATGACTGCTAACTAAAAAATATATTATTATTTAAATTTCATATGATCCAGTTATTCTACTTCTGGTTACTTACCCAAAGACCATAAAATACTAATCAGAATATATATATACGCACCATAATGTTCATCAAAACAAAACAGAATAGCCAAGAGTTTGAAACATCTTAAAGGTCTATTGATAGATAATTGGATAAAGAAGGTGTGCTGTAGTTACACAGAGGAACATTACTAATCTATTTAGACAAGAAATAGAATCCTCCTATTCATTGCAAATGGAAAGAAAAAGGAAACCATGGTATGATTTCACTCACGTAGTACCTGAATGAACTATTTTTTTAAAAAAGAAAAGAGAGATAGAAAGGGAAGGAGGGAGGGAGGGAGAGAGGGGGAGGAGGAAGGAAGGAAGGAAGGAAGGAAGGAAGGAAGGAAGGAAGAAAGGAAGATTTTAGGCTGTATAATCAAATGTAATCATCAGAAAAGAAAAGGACTGATAAATCAGATAAAGGGGTCAGATGTCAGTCACATGATCAAGAATTGTGCTAAACTTAATATACCATAGATGTTGAATTCTAATGATATATTCCTGAAGCCTATATAATGCCATAACCAAAGCCATTTCAATTTTAAAAAATCAAATGCCTATATATACCCCAGATCAACTCAACACATTGATGGCGGCACTGCAATTTGTGATAATTAGGCCACAGTCAAGAGTGAGCTATGCTGGCATCAATGTGTTAATCAAATCTACAGAACTCAAATGTATCTCATTAAAACCTCTCATGATTGCTCTGGTGTTTTTTTCATGCATTAATTCAATCTAGATGAGCAGCTTCCATATAAAGAGTTGGTAATATGTAGCACTGTAGCACTGTCCTCCTGTTGTTCTTCGATTTGCTCAAGCAAGCCCAGTAACGTCTCCATTGTGAGACTTGTTGCTGTGTTTGGCAAATCAAATACATCATGGGGAGCTTGCCAGGCTTTGCTGTGTGGGCGAGATACTCTCAGTAGCTTGCCTGGCTCTCCAAGAGGGGCAGAGGAATCAAACTCGGTTCTACCAGGTCAGCGGCATGCAAGGCAAATGCCCTGCCACTGTGCTATCGCTCCAGCCCAGGTAATATATAGCAAGCATTAAAGAGTTTTATTGAAGGAGGTATATTTGATTTTGTTTGTTTCTGGACTACACCTGGATGTGCTCAGGACTTACTACTCCTGGGGGCTCGAGGGACTATATGGGGTTCCAGGGATCAAACCCAGGTCAACTATGTAAAGTAAGCTTTACTCCCTGTATTAGCTCTCCAGCCCCTGATTTTGGAAATGGTACACTAAATGAATATGAAAATCCCTTTGCGAGTATGACAAATATTTGATATTTTAGTAAAAACAGACACAGTCTTGTCATTGTCTAATAAATTGTCTAATAAATGCAAATCAGAAATAGTTAATGCTAATAATGATAACTGATTATATCATTGCTCTTATAAATCTGCCTTGTAAGCCAAATTGAATATATTCAAATTCTAAAATTCTAACCTTCCGGGATCTTGTTTCCTCCAACCATGACTAGTACACACATAACATGAGGCCATTTCAGGTGAGAATATTCAGCATCAATCTCGTTCTGCCAACATGAATATTAGGCAGTTGGACTTACTTTTTATTATGAAACAATGAAACACAAGTAAGAATACTCATCATCTCTTGCAAATAGATACTGGGGATAAGTCCAAAACTCAACATGTCATGAATTAAAACCCCGATGATTGCCACTAAATTCCTCTTTTGCAAACCACAGCACCCAAAAGGAGAAAGAGAAGAAAAGGGAATGCCCTGCCACAGAGGCAGGGTTGGATGGGGGGATGGGAGGTGGGAGGGATACTGGGATCAGTGGTGGTGGAGAATGGGCACTGGTGGAGGGATGGGTACTCGATCATTGTATAACTGAAACCCAAACACAAAAATTTGTAAGTCTACAACTGTACCTCATGATGTTTCACTAATAAAATTTTTTAATTAAAAAATAATAAATAAATGAATAAATAACCCAGCACGGAATTGAGAGAACCTCGCATTGTTAAGATTGCCCTGCCACCTAGCGTTCGAGAGCTTGTTTACACTGAAGTGCATTCATCTCCTTCAGATCAGCATATTCATGACCCACCTGTCCAACTACGGAAATGACCGACTGGGACTGTATACGTTTGTAAACCTGGCCAACTTCGTGCAGAGCTGGACCAACTTGCGACTTCAGACGCTGCCTCCTTTACAGCTGGCTCACAAGTATTTTGAGCTCTTTCCTGATCAAAAAGACCCTCTCTGGCAGGTAAGACTGATTTGATAATTAAATATTCCCACAAACATACTTAAGAGCTTTGTGAGATCATCTAAATCTGGAAAGGACAAGTATATTGTGATGGAAGTATACACTTTGCAACTCTTTTTAGATTTAAGAATCAATTTCTTCCTGAATGTAGTTTTACTGATGCAGATTGGGCAAAATTCTCCATTCCTGTGCACATTAGTATTAATAAGGGGCCTGGGTGCATGGGTGAGGTAGAGATTGTATATACGTCTCGGAAGGTAACACAAGGACAATAATAACCAAACTTGGAAATGTGCCTGTTAAAGAGACAGTACCAAGGCAATGGTACAGTAGTGAAAGTCACTTGCTGTGCACATTGATCACCCAGTTTCGATCCCCAACATCCTACATGGGGATGTAGCCCCACTAGGAGTGGTTCCTGAGTGCAGAGCCTGGAGTAACCCCTGTGCATCACCAGGTGTGACCCAAAAAGAAAACAAAAAAAATGTTTGCGGGCGGAGAGACAGTACAGTAGGTAAGGCACATGGCTTACATACAGTTGACCCAGGTTCGATCCCTGGCATCCCATATGGTCCCCTGAGCACTGCCAGGAGTGATTTCTGAGTGTATAGCCAGAAGTAACCACTGAGCATTGCCAGGTATGCCCCCCTCCCAAAAAAAAGAAAACCAGAAAAAACAGAAGACAGGGTCGGTGGGAGGAAGTTAACACTGGTGGTAGGATTAGTATTGGAATATTATATGCCTGAAATTCTAACTCAAACAACTGTAAACTACGATGCCTACTAGTAAAATTAAAATAAAAATGAATATCTGGAATTATGAAACTCAGTGAAGGGTTAAGTAGATGCAGATTTCTTACAAGTTACATAAGAGATCCATTTTCAAACTGCAACAGATTAAAAGCACAAAAGACAGCAAAAAACAGTGTGTTAGGCAGATAGTCAGCTGATTGACCAAGAGCACATCCCCTTCTCTCTATTAATGAGATGACAGTAAAGGTCTGAATAACAAGAGTTCTTCCAGAACAACAGCCCAAAAATTCAGAACTGACAGCTGCCTCTGAACCGCTGAGTACATTAGTGGTCACAAAATATTGGAGGCCTTCAAAAGTATTAGTGTTAGTATAATTTCAGACATGGATAAATTGTGTCATGGAAAAATCATTGATTTAAAGAGAAAATGTCACATAAATATAACATGCTTATGTTGTTCTCTGCATATCCCAGATTTCAAAGCTTAGACTCTTGTACATCCTGGAATTGTAGAGATGGAACTCAAACTAAATTAATTATTACATGAGCCAGGGAAGTCATCAATCTTAGAAAATCCATGGTGCTGCCCTTGTGTCAGACTGGGCTCCTTCTCTATATTGGCACATTTAATCTGGTAACTGCCCTATGTAACAGGGCACCATTATGTCCATGTTTCAAGTGAAGAACAGAAGCACAGACAGGTTGAGACATGCCAGTTCATCACACAGCTAGCGTGGGGCACAGTGGACATCAGTCCCAGAACGTCTGGGTCTAGAAACAACGTTCTTAATCACAGTTCTAAGTGATGCTCAAGAATGACTGACAGAGCAGAGATATGACCATGACAATTTTGGAACAATTCAGTTCACATCGCAGGCTGAACTTGCAGGAAGCTCTGGCCTCTATGGTCGACTCAATCCGCTTTGAACCTGAGCTAATTATCTCCTGAACACAAGCAAGATAGCCCTAAGGTGAGACCTAACAACATGTTTTGTAGGCAACAGCAGTTTAGGAACTATGGATACTTATTATTTTTCACTTGGAACAGACACAATTTTTATATTTACGACAACAAAACATCGCCAAATATTAGCCTCTGAAAAGACATGATTTTCCTGCTAATTTATTATCATAAATCTAAAATCAATTTTGCTTCAGGTGACAAGTTGAAATGAAATTTCTTCCAGAACAACAGCCAAAAAAAAGTGCCCCCTTGAGTCAGAAAGAGGGACTGACATAGAAGGACTGCACTTATATGTGTAAAACAACATAACATGAGGCTGACACCTAAGGATAGTAGATACACGGGACAGGTAGGGGAAAAGGCAGATGGAATAAAGAAGGGATCACTAAGAAAATGATGGCTGAAGGAATTGGTCAGGATGTCGAGATGTGTGCAGAAAGTAGATAAAGGACAAAACATGATGACCTCTCGGTGTCTGTATTGCAAACCATAATGCCCAAAAGTAGAGAGAGATTATGGGGAACAATGTCTGCCATAGAGGCAGGGGGAGGATGGAAAAGGAGGGGTATACCTGGGATATAGGTGGTGGGGAATGTGTACTGGTGAAGGGATGGGTGTTTAATCATTGTGTGATTGTAATCCAAACATGAAAATTTGTAACTATCTCACGGTGAGTCAATAAAATTTAAAAAAAAAGTGCCCCCTTTTGTGTTAACATCTGTTTCTTGTTGAAAATATGCAAACAACTTATTTAACTGCATGAATCTACTAATTGGACAGAAACAGAAAGCTGTCCACTTTGTCTATTTCTGAAAAAGTATTAAATGATACTGCTAAGTCTTTACATAACATGAACTTTGCAGTAGAAAGTGTATATTCATCTTATATAGCCATATTGGTTTCAGTACCACAGACGGAGAAAATAGTCCAAAGGTAGCAATTTAGTTATTATATCATTTCATTTATTTGCTGAAATTTAATATTTTTTAGCCTCATAGTCTCCAAGTTATTTTTTACCTATATATTTGCTGGCATTTAAAGACAGCTAAAGGTAAATTGAAATCTCTTTATATAGTATTAGTAAAGCTATATCTACAATCTTCTGAAGTACAGCAGCAAAGTTCAGATACTTTGATTAAAAAATCTGTACTTTGATATGGGTATGGTGTTGGAATCATGTGCATGAGAAACCAAAAGCAACTGTATTATAAATCATAGTCTTGATTTTAAAATAAAATAACATAAAAATTAAAAAATCTGCACCCTACAGCTAGAACTGTTTAGAACTGTCAGGGTTGGAGCAATAGCACAGCAGGTAAGGCATTTGCCTTGCACGAAACCAACCCAGGCTCGATTCCCAGCATCCCATATGGTCCCCTGAGCACCACCAGTGGTAATTCCTGAGTGTAGAGCCAGGAGAGACCCCTGTGCATCACCAGGTGTGACCCAAAAAGCAAAAAAAAAAAAAAAAGACTTAAAACTGCCAACCATGGAAACACTTTTTAACCATCAGTGCTTATCTTACTGCTTATCCGTAGCAAGAAGAAGAAAGCATGCCTGCTAACTCCTCTGGAGGTAGGCAACTTCAAGGCAAAAAAGGAACTGTTATAGAGCTCCTATGAGGACTCTTTAAAGATTTAATTTAAAAGGAGAAACCACATAGTATTATTATCTTTTTTTTTTCTTTTTTCACTTTTGGGGTCATATTCGGCAATGCTCAGGGGTTATTCCTGGCTCTGCACTCAGGAATTACTCCTGCCATTGCTCAGGAGTTATGGGATGCTGGGGTCAAATCCAGGTCAGCTGCACGCTAGACAAACACCTTACCTATTGTACTATCACTCCAGCCTTCGTAATAGTATTATCTTTTAGGACACGTGTGTAATCATTAAGACATAGAATCCAGGGACTGGAATGACAGTAGGGTGTTTGCCTTGCACACAGCCGGCCCGGGTTTGATTCCCAGCATCCCATATGGTCCTCTGAGCACCGCCAGGAGTAATTCCTGAGTGCAGAGCCAGGAATAACACTGTGCATTGCCAGGTGTGACCCAAAAAGGAAAAAAAAAAAAGACATAGAATCCATATGCCAACAAAACGAAACCTCTCTATTAATCTCTCCTTTAGAATCCTTGTGATGACAAACGCCACAGAGACATTTGGTCTAAAGAAAAAACCTGTGATCGCTTACCAAAATTCTTGGTAATAGGACCCCAGAAAACTGGTGAGAACTTTTGGTGTTGTAATTAATAAAACTGTGCAAGCCTTCTGGTAACTAAATATTGAGTTCCTGTCACAATAAGTTCTCTATCTCTATAACTGCCAATGAACAAATAACACATTGCAATGGAATATATAACATAAAACAGCATGTAAATTTAACATGTACAATGTTTTGCTTTGAGATCTTATAAGTTTCTTTATTACTATAGTTATGGAATTACATAATATTATCAATATTCATAATACTGTAAGAAATTATTCCTGTAGCTTATTTACTTCTTGTAAGTCTGTGCTCTTAAACAATTCAATCTCCCGATCTTCCCTTCCCTGGCAATCATCATTTTACCTTTTTTTTATGAGTATGAATTTAAAAAAAAATCCATATATCAGCAATATATAGTCTTTTCTTCCTCTGAATTTTCCCACTTAGCATAACATACTTCAGATCCATCTATGTTTCTGCAAGTGGCAGGATATCTTGCCATCTCATGGGTGAATAATATCCCATGTGTTACTCCCTATCAATTTTTTTTCCTATCAATTTTTAACCCATTCCTGCAGTAACGAGCACTTAGTTTATGTCTAGAGCAGTTTAAATGGCTGCAATAAACATGGAAGTAACTATATATCTCTTTGAAATATATCTTTAATTTCCTATGGGCGTGTAAACAGTAGGGTAGCTTCTGGATCAGATAGTATTCCTATTTTAATTTGTGAGGAATCATAGGAACCACCAGGTTGATTTCTGTAGTGGCTGAACAAATGTACCTTCCCACCAAATTTGTGACAGCTCCTTTTAAGCACATCCTATACTGCTGTCTCTTCTCTTCTTAATGATAATCTGAAGAAGGCATCTTATTCCTCACAGCCTCTGATTAACTTGATATTGTACATAAATATTTGTTTAACAAAATTAAAAGGATAAAATAGACGGAATATGGTTTGAATATTAAATATTTAATACTAAGCATTAAATATGGTGGCAAATTTTTTCCCCAGATCTTAACTGTATTTACTGATCAAGATCTTAACTGGAGTGTTAACATTTCTAAATTCAAAACTAATCGTATATTTATAGTGACAAACAGAATTTTGTAACAAGTTGAGAATGACACATTTAAGTACCTAAAAATCTTTACAATAAACACCTTTCAGGGAAAATAGCCCTCCATGCCATCTTCCTGATGTTATTTTTTTTCTAAATTTCTACAGATGAGTAATTTCTAAAATCTAAATAAATTTCACAAATGCAATTCCTAAACAGAAACAAAACATTGTGTAAATTGGGTATTTATTCATAACCAGAAAAATATTTGTACCTTTTCTTAAATCTGTGTATATTTTTCCATAACTACATTATTTCCATATGAATCAGTATTAAAATAAAGCCCAGTGGGAGGCTTCATATGCCATACATTAAAATGCTGCATCATTCTTAGTAAGTTATTTTGGGCCTTTGGATTCTGGCTCCCATTTCAACCATAGTCCTTCCTAAGGGACTATATTCCATCTCTTCATTTTTCTAGTAATCAGAGTGAATTATACATAAAGCAAAGAGACTCTGGCCTCAATTTTCCTAGTTCTATATGCAAATATCAACTTGAAATCAGTAATCAATGATAAATACTTTTCCTGATCTATTTCACTTGCCCTTTTCTATTTAAGTCAAGATGCATTTAGAAAACCACTTAAACTGAAGTCCCTTCCATGGATCCCCACCGTTGTCTCCCACTTTGTCATTACAGATCACATCTCTCAAAAGTTGGCATATTAAGTTTGCTTCAGAAAACCCTGCAGGAAATGCTGTGCTGTGCTAGATATGCAGACAATTTAATATCATGGTTAGATGGCAGAATTATTACTTGTCATCTTAAACTCAACTGGGTTTCCAAATGTTTATGTAACACTGTATATATGACATTTGCCTTTGGACGAGAAATTTTTATTTCCTTTTTATAGTAACTGAATGTTTTCAAGGAGGCATATTTTACATGATAAAACTTGCCCATTTTGAGTTTGATGAATTTTGGAAATTGTACACATTTGTTTCACTACCATATGATAAATACTTTTCCTGATCTATTTCACTTGCCCTTTTCTATTTAAGTCAAGATGCATTTAGAAAACCACTTATCATATGTTTAACATACAGTACAGTGCTGTCTCCTGAAACGTATCAGTGACTCCCTTTACAATTGATTTCCCCTCCTTAACCTCAGCCACAGGTAACACTCTCTGTCACTATCGTCTGGCCATTTCTAGAGTTACATATACATGGAAATATAAAACATACCATCTTTTGTGTCTGACTTCTCTCACCTAAAATAACACCTTTTAGACTCACTCATGTTGTGTTGTGAGTAGACATTTTGAAATTGATTTTCAAATGGAAAAACACTACTAGTTAGATTAAAAATAAATAGCTTCACTTTTAACTTTTTAATTTTTTAAAAAGCATATTTTCTGAATAATTTTTAACAAATACATATCGACCCAGCCAGATCAAAATAATTCAAATAATTCTGTGTTGAAACTGAAGCTTATCTATGGTATCAGAATATGTATGGCTCTAACTATATAGTTGAGTTAGAAAACTTGATAGAAAAAAATATTGTCGGACCCAAAAGCATACCTAGGTAAAAAGAGTATTGTGAAATCACCTCTTAACTTTATGAACACTAATGATTTTTTTACTGATGATGCAAACAATTAGATGTATCATATTTTTCTATTTGTCCATAGTTACTATGTACATACCAAAAGCACATAAGGGTGTCCCTTACTCCACATCTTTGCCAACATTTGTTTTCTATTTTTGTAAATTTTTTTTTGTATTTTGTATTTGTATTGTTTTTGTTTTTGTGTTTTGGTTTGGAGGTTTTTTATATTGGCTACACTAAGTGCTGATGGATTGCCCAGGACCCCTCCTGATAAATAATGACTGGCCAAGAAGTTCTGGCAGTTCTTAGGAACTCAGCAGTGCTTCAGGGGGTCATGCTGATACCAGAGATCAAACCTAGGGCATTATGAAGACTGGAGTGATAGTACAGCGGGCAGGGTGTTTGCCTTGCATGCAACCGACCTGGGTTCTATTCCCAGCATCCCTTATGGTCCCCTGAGCACTTGCAGGAGTAATTCTTGAGTGCAGAGCCAGGAGTAACCCCGGTGCATCTCCGGGTGTGACCCAAAAAGAAAATAAAATCTAAGGACTTCTGCATGCCTGGCACATATTGTACTCCTTGAGCCAAGTCCCTGGCTTATTTCTTATACTTTTTGTAATTGCCACTCTAAAAAGTATGGAACTCATTGTGGTTGCTATCTGCATTTCCCTGGTGATTAGTGATGTTGGGTATATTTTTCTAGTCTTTACTACCTGTATATCTCCTCTGCTTAAAAAAAATCTATTTATATCCTCTCTGCATTTTTATTTTTATTTTTTGAGAATTTTTTTTCATTAAGTTGTGAGTTCTGTATATATCTGGTATTAACACCTATCAGGCTATCAGGTATATGATTAGCAAATATTTTCTTCCATTTGGTAGGTTACCTTTCCATGCTGTTTATGGCTTCTTCAGAAGAACAGCTTCTGAAGCTTATGCAGAAGCTTCTTAGTTTCATGTAGACCCATTTGTTACCTTTGCTTCTGATATTAGATCCAAACAATCACCACCTGAACCAATGTCAAGAATCCTGCATTCTATGTTTTTTTTTTCTAGGAGTTTCATGGTTTTCTTCTTATATCCAAGTCTTTTATTCATTTTGAGAACATTTTCGTGTACAGTTCATTCCTTTATTCTTTAGTTTTCCCACCCTAAGGTAAAGGTAAAGGCCCTCCCGTTGATCGTCGATTTGCTCGAGCGGGCCCAGTAACGTCTCCATTGGAGACTTTGTTGTTACTGTGTTTGGCATATCGAATACTCTCGGTAGCTTGCCAGGCTCTCCGAGAGGGGCGGAGGAATCGAACTCGGGTCGGCCATGTTGGCCGCTTGTAAGGCGAACGCCCTACCCGCTGTGCTATCACTCCAGCCCTTTCCCTTCTCCATCATATACTCTTGACTTCTTTTTCATATGTTAATTCACTATATATTAATAGATTTATTTACAAACTCTCTCTACTACATGTCTGTTTTACACTGGTTTTCTTACTATAGCTTTATTGTACATTTGAAATCAGGGGACTTGATGACTCCAGGTTTCTTGTCAAGATTTCTTTGGTTAGTCAAAGCTTTTCCTTTTATTCCATACACATTTTAAGATGGCTTACATTACCTCTGTGAAAAAACCCATAAGAATGTTTATTTCCTAAGATTTTTAGAATTTTGTTGGTAGTATGGCCACTTCAGCAATTCTTCCAACATGAGCATGGAATACCTTTCCATTCTTTGTGTCTTCTTCAGTTCCTTTTATCAGTATCTTAAGAGTTTTCAGGCCAGAAAGATAGCACGTTGGGTAATTAAGGTGCTTGCCATGCATACAGCCAACCCCCAGAATCACGTATGATTCCCTAAACACTTCTAGGAGTGATCTGGGAGCACAGAGCCAGGAGTAATCCCAGAGCATAGCCAGGTGTGGTCCAAACCACCACCACCTCCTCTCCCCGCCAAATAAAACATACTTTATATTTTTTTACCATATATATATATATATATATATATATATATATTTCACGCCTTTGGTTAAACTTGTTCACAGGTATTTCACCATCTTGGTGATGTTATAAATGGAATTATTTTTTTCCTTCTGATCCAATGTATTTCATATCATCTGCAAACAGTGTCAGTCTTATTTCTTCCTTTCCAACTTAAATGTTTCATTTCCTTTTCTTGCCTAATTTGTCTAGTCAAGCATCCAGTACTGTGTTCATAAATATGTAAACATTGTCACTGTTGTCGGGGTATTAATCTTTGATACTAAGCTTTCCGCTTTCTCCCTCCCTGTTCTCTGTGGTCTTTCCTTGATTCCCACCATGTTGCAAACTGCTTTGCTTTCTCTTGTAGCAGAAAAGCTGAGCGGTTGCCTTATCTTTATCATGTAGGCAACAAAACACTATAGAATCCACGACCCTGCTTGTTTAGCGTGATATCTTTGACCCCGAATAATCATAAGTGTATGGATACAGACACCGGTGACAGTGACATTTTCTATCCCTTAAAACGCAAATGTACAAATTATGCCATAATAGAGGAAAACAGTTTGTCCTAAATATAGTAAACAATTTTGACACTAATTTTTTATTAATACATTCAAACTTAAATTTATAAAATATTCAATTCTGACTTATATTTAATGAGCTGTTTCTAAACCCTAACGAAATACTAGAGTCCAAGTATAGATTTGTAATGCAATAATTTATATAAAATATTTGTTTCATTTGTGTACTGTTTATTAATGTAAAAGTGTTTATCTTGCATGCAGTCAACCCAAGTTGAATCCCCAGCACCCCTGATGGTCTCCCAACCCCCACCAGGAATGATCCCTGAGCAAAGAGTCAGTAATAAGATCTAAACAGTACTAGGTGTGGCCTCCAAATTTTAAAAAGTAATAATCTTCAAAAATAAAAAGTCTTTATATCCTCACTGAAAGACTGTGAAATAAGCCAGGCAGATAACTCTTCACTAATGAAGCCAAGATGAGAAACGCTAAGTGCCAAAGTCACAGATCCAACAGTTGATTAGCCCATGGTAAAAACCCAGCTCTCCCAAATCTTATTCTTTGCCTCCTCTCCTCAACTCACACTAACTCCAATTTTTAGAACTTGCTTTCTTTTAAATGCTAATTATCTGCTCAATTTAATTCTAGTGTTTACATGTTTGTATCACTGTAATATTTCATTTATTAATGGCTTTGAAATGAGAATAGTAAGACTCTGTTTCATTTCATTAAACTCTAACCCTCTGTTGTCTTTTCAGGTACCACTGCTCTGTACTTGTTCCTGGTTATGCATCCTTCCATCCTTAGTAACTCCCCCAGCCCAAAAACCTTTGAGGAGGTACAGTTCTTTAATAGAAATAACTACCACAGGGGGATTGATTGGTAAGATGGGTTATTAGTATAAATCTAAAAGTATATGTACTGTACACAGCATAAAATTAGATTATAAACGTTTAAGTGTGTGGCCACAAAGAAAAGTTAACTTTTGTGCCATGGAACTTGATTAAATGACATAAAGGGGTAAAGAGTATTCATCATGAGCTTTTCACAAGAGAACCATATATTGTGCATTAATAAGCATTGATGGTGATCACAGACATGCCAGAAAAATTCTGTAATCCCCATGAATTTCATTCCTCTGTAATCTTAACACTCACAGTTTCTCTAATTGTGTACTCTGAATTAATATGATATTATGGGGGGCGGGAAAATATTCTGAGCAGTAGAACACATGTTTAGCATACACAGGGCTCAGCTCAATCACCAGAACTGCCCAGTCCGACTGGCCTCCAAATGCAGCCAGAATTGAGACACTCTCCACTGCCAACAAGGGTTAAACTGTCAGACAAGCCCAAACCCTCAAGCGTGACCCCGTAGCCCTGGATCCCAGCACCACTAATGGTCGCCTCTCTTAAAAAATAGGGACCGAGATTGTAATACATGTATGTAACTTTCTAATTTAGTTTGGCACAAAAGGTAAATAGAACTAGAAATGTGTGTGTATTTCATGGAAAATGAAAGGTACCAAAAAGCTATGAGCAATAACGCAGAATTTAATTGTTAACTTTTGAATTGAAATTCACTCCATCACCCCATCACCCCATCACTCCCTTGTTCATCGATTTGCTCGAGCAGGCACCAGTAACATTTCCATTCATCCCTGTGCTAATGTAGCCTAATATTGGCTACATTTGGGGGCATATTGGGGGCTCTTTCAGGGTCAAGGGAATGAGGACCATCGTTGTTACTGTTTTTGGTATACCAAGTATGTCACAGGTAGCTTGCCAGGCTCTGCCGTAAATTGAATTGAATTGAAATTAGAAATACATATCCTGTGTGATTAAAAGTTAAAAGATATCAAAGATACATAAAAATAGTAATAATTGTGCACATTTTTAGGTTAAGAAAAAAGATATTTCTAATGTGCTGAACTAACTTTGGGAGCTAAATTAGCAGCATGACTAATTTAGCCATTGTTGTCAGTTACCTTCAGACAAATTTTTTAAATACTAATAACAAAAAAATGAAAAAATTGATATTATAATATAACATGTTTAATCATAAAATATAGAAGCCTTGCCATTAAGGATGTTGTAACTATTAATCCTTTCAGTAATTACTTGTGGGTAGTCTAAATGGAAAGACAAGGAAATAGGTTGAGTATAACTTAGGTGCTGAAAAGAATTTACCCATATTCTAATTGTTGTTTATTTAACTGTCAATACTTCAACACAGTGCTCATTATTAGATATGTATTTTAAATTATAGATGAAATACTCAAGAAGCTATCCACTACTTTAGTTGTTATTTGACCACTGAATCAAAAAACCATAGACAATGTACAATAGAATAAAATTATGTTGACACCAGATCTAAAAGGAGTCATTGGAAACTGCTTTAGAAGTAGAGAAAATAATGCAGTACTTGGATTCTCTGAAACTTACAAGTATCTGTGGGAGTAATCAATTTTTTAAAAAGCTTATTATAAGCCAGTCATGTGTATAGGCTCTATAAAAGGAAGAAGCAGTCCTTAAGAATTTTACATGGAGATGACATAAATAAGGAGAAAGCTAAAAAGCAATTAAAGATTTTAATTATAGCTCCAATTAAAAACAAAAGAAAACACTCCAAGTGCAAACACTTTTGACTGACAAATTATATGCTTATAAAAGGCAATTAACAGAAATAACAAATCATAGTTACTGCAAATGTCAATCTATTAGCAATAATTATAGCTTTGTTTTCTATGATATCAAATGTATTCCCAGTCCTCAGATTGGCTCGGTTCTCTCAGAGGAGTCAGTAACTCAGCAGTTCCTTTCGGACCACAAAATAACCAGATCATATATGTCAGCATTCCATATTCACTGACAGAATCAACCCAGGCACAGTTCATTCAGACTCAGGGATCTGCCTTTCTTGAAGAACTGGAGAAAACCAGTGTCGCCTTAACTTACGGGCAACCTAAATATAGGTTTAGAGGAAAAAATGGAACAGACGAAAACTAGAAAACTCCATCTTTGATTAAAACAAAAAATAGCTAAGATTTGCAATCAGAAGATCTCAGGAAACTATTTGATTCTTGCATACATAAAAGGTTTTATTTCTTGGATGGAATTATTTCTTCAATTACCTGGGGGTACAGCAGAGGGTTGGGATGGTGCATGGAAAACCAGAAAATGCTATTAGTGTTTTGATCTTGAAATGTCTTATCAGTCTCTGAGTAAAATCACTTTAAAATACTCAGGGTTGGGGGCAGAGTGATAGAGCAGTGGGTAGGGCATTTTGCCTCATATGCAGCTGACCGGAGTTTGATCCTTGGCACTCAATACAGTTCCCAAAGTATGCCAGGAGTGATCCCTGAGTTCAGATCCAGGAGTAAGCCACACCCCAGGTATGGCCCAAAACACAAATGCCCCCTCCTCCCCCCAAAATAATCTATATGTATGTATGTGTGTATATACTCAGGGTCAACTCAAGTAACAAATACATATACAGAATAGCAAATGTCACATATTCTAGGTCAAAAATATCGCTGAAGTGTGTAGAGTTAAAAAAAATATGTAAGTGAGCCGATATGTTCAAATTTTCCAGAAACATGTGTGCATCCCTTTCCTATCAAAAGGATGCCACTATGACATGTTACCAACAAGGCAATGCCCAGAAAACATCAAAGTATTTCATTTCTGCCTTGACTCTCAATTCATTGTTTGGTGTGCCAGCCAAATTGTCCAATATTTTAACAAGAACCCTAGCAGAAGCTTTAACATGAAAAAAAAGCTACACATTGCAAAAAGGAAGTTATCACATAAATGATGATGCATCTTGCTTAGAAATTATGAGAAATCTTGATTTGGTAACACTTATGAGTTGAGAAGGGTGCAAATCGTGGGTGAAGTCATTATTAAAAAATATAAGAAATGCTAGAAGTTAAATTTGTATGCTCTCTCTTAAAAGGCACCTTTTCCAATAAAGGAAGGCACATACTGCTTCAGAAACATTTATTATCATATACTGAACTACTTTGTATTTTACAACTTTTGTACAGATGGGTCATTATGCAAACCCACTCTGTTTTGTACTTCACTCTGCTGGTGATTAGAATTTTCACCTCATTTGAGGATATGGGACATGATCTTAGGATATTTGATAGGTTTTGATGTACTTAAGTATATGTACATACTCTTAAACTTTTATCATTAAAAACTATGACAAACTGTATGAAAAAATAAGCAAATAAGCAATGTTCACATCAAATATTATATAATTTGATACTTTATTGCAGAATATCTGCCAGCATAACACAGTAAGGTGAACAAAATTATTTTGTTTATGATAAAGTAAAAATGTTTTGTCTAAACTTTAAAATTCCTTTGAACTGAACTAATTAGACTCTGTTGACCTAATTTTCATTTTACTTGGGTACTAATATTTTTCTCTGTGAAATGTTTCTGCATTTAGACATACTTTTTATAATTATGTTGATTATATTAGTTTAATCACTAGTGTCTATGTTTTTGATACTTCCCACACAACTTTTTCCAGACACAAATGTAACGGTATGTTTTTGATACTTCCCACACAACTTTTTCCAGACACAAAGTAAAACAAAAATAAATATATTTGTAGAAGATTCTCAAAATACCTATTAGTGTTCTATGTGGGGATTTTTTCTTACTTCATGAGGCAAATGCCACAAAAAAAAGGCTTCTGCTTAGGAAACAAAATATCAGTGGGACACCTTTAATATCTTCAGTCACCAGGTTATCAGTGTAAGTCAACATCTTACTTTTAAAATGTTCCTTTATTAGGTACATGGAATTCTTCCCTGTTCCATCCAATGTGACCACTGACTTTCTGTTTGAGAAGAGTGCCAACTATTTCCACTCAGAGGAAGCACCTAAAAGGGCAGCTTCTCTGGTTCCCAAGGCCAAGATCATCACCATCCTCATTGACCCTTCGGACCGAGCGTATTCCTGGTACCAGGTAAAAAAAAAAAATCCCAAGCTGAATCCGCAGGCAGAGCAGGGAGAATCTGCAGGAGGAAGGGGGGGTTTCGACAGTAGCCATCACCTCTGGTTTAAGCAAAAATGCACTAGCTCTAGCATCTTTGTTTAGTACTAAGAACTGGCACTCATCCCTGACCAGTGGGCCATCACCTCAGAACCCTAGTTTTAAAGTTCTATAGGAGTTTTTTCATGTAGAAAGAATTGCAGTTCATCTTATGTGGATTTTCAAGTCTTATATTTTCAGGGTAATTTTTTTTCTATGAAGAAATTAAGGTTTTCTTAAGTTCCTATTATACTCTGTTCACTAATTTATACAATAAAACATGAATATAATAAAGAGATTATATTTAAAACAATATTACATATTTGTATCTGTATTTTAATATTCTGAAAGTAAAATGTTATCAAACTTTTAAATCATTTTCCATCCAATATTGGACAACATAGCTCTTATCATAATCTTATGAAAGAAGAACGTGATTGATTTTCTAAAGCAGAGGAAACTGGGTTTTTGGGGAAAGGATTAGATGAGCCGGAGAAGTAATATGGTGGTAGGACACTGGCCTCATATGGGGCCAGCCCAAGTTCAATGTCCAGAACCACACATGGTTCTCCAGCCACCTCGATTCCTGAGCACAGAGCCAGGAGTAAGCACTGAGCACCTCTAGGTGTGGCCCTACCAAAACAGAACTAGAGAATAAATATTTCAGGCTTGCAGGTCACAGTATGCTTCTGTGGCTACTCCACATCAAAGGCCACCACAGAAAATATGAAAATATGTAAATGAATGAGGGAGGCTGTGATTCAATAAAACTTTCTTATAAAAACAAATGGCATTCTGATGCACATATTTTAAGACAGGATACAAATGTCACATCTTTGTCAAAGCTTTTGCTAGCTTTCCTTATTAAATCAGTATTCCCTTCTCTGTTACTATGACACTTTCCACATTCACAAGTAATTGTTTTTGTTTTCAAATCAGTGCCCTTTCCAGACATCGACTGCTTGAGAGTATTCACTATCACTATCACTATCCTCCCTTTGTTCATCGATTTGCTCGAGCGGGCCCAGTAACGTCTCCATTGGAGACTTTGTTGTTACTGTGTTTGGCATATTGAATACATCACAGGTAGCTTGCCAGGCTTTACCGTGTGGGTGAGATACTCTCGGTAGCTTGCCAGGCTCTCCGAGAGGGGTGGAGGAATCGAACTCGGGTTGGCCATGTTGGCTGCATGCAAGGCAAATGCCCTACACACTGTGCTATCGCTCCAGCCCTTGAGAGTATGAATTAAAAAATTTATAAAATAATTTTGTGTCTTATTCCCCTGACCCTGAAAGAGCCTCCAATGGGACACCGTTGGGATGGATGAGTAAGGAGAGGCTGCTAAAATCTCAGGGCTAGGACAAATGGAGACATTACTGGTGCCTGCTCGAGCAAATCAATGAATAACGGGATGACAGTGATACAGTGATAAAATAATTTTAGTGGTAGGCCAAATTTGGAACAAATGAGCTCAAATCAATACTCATACAGAAAAAAAATAAGAATAGCAAAACTAAATATAAGGGGGGAGAGAGAGAGACAGAGACAGCGAGAAGTAAAGTGCCTGCCATAGAGCCATAGAAGCAGGCAGGGGATAGAGGAGTGACTGGAGGGTAACTGGGGCCATAGTGGTGGGAAATGGACACCGGTGAAGGGATGGGTTTTGGATCATCGTATGACTGAAACCCAACCATGAACAGCTTTGTAACTGTATCTTACGGTGACTCAAAAACAAACTCTAAATATAAGAAATTTTTATCTGACCTGGGGAGATAAAGACTAGAAACCTTGGCAGAGAGATGGGGAGAGGGTACACAATTGCCCAGGACCATGTGATCCATTCAGCACCACCAAAAATGAGCCAGGAGTTGTTTTTAAAAAAATCTGGGGCTGGAGAGATAGCACAGCAGGTAGGGTGTTTGCCTTGCGCGCGGCCGACCCGGGTTCAATTCCCAGCATCCCATCTGGTCCCCTGAGCACTGCCAGGAGCAACTCCTGAGTGCAGAGCCAGGAGTAACCCCTGAGCATCGCCAGGTGTGACCCAAAAAGCAAAAAAAAAAAAATCTACCCTTGAAAACCTAGTCCATCTAAATCCCATTAAGTCTCTTTCTCACACACTCACTGCCATCATGTTTCTGGTGTTAGGAAGAGCCTGGCATAGACATAATCACCTTGAAATAGATTAACAGAACCTAATTATGATATATATCAAATGTATTTTGTATTTCATAAAGTCTTTGAAGGAATAGGGATGGGGAGATGCAGAGACAGTATAGTGGATAGGGTGCTTATCTCACACACGCCTGACGAAGGTTCAGTCTCCGGCACCACATATGGTCCCAAAACCCCTGCCAGGAGTGACCCCTGAGCATAGGCAGATAAGGCCCAGAACCACCCCCTAAAAAGGAAGGGGGGACTGCAGCAATGATATAGCAAGTAGGGCATTTGCCTTGTATGTAGTTGACCCAAGTCCAATCCCTGGCATTCCCATATGGTCTCCCGAGCACTGCTAGAATTCCTGAGTGCCAGGAGTTACTCCTGAGAACCAGGAGCAACCCCTAAGCATCGCTGGGTGTGAACCACAGAGCCCTCCTCAACACCCCCTCCAAAAAAAAAACTAGAAAATTTCAATAAAAATCAGTCACAATTAAATGCAAAAACAACACATTTAAGAGTTTATGTCTATAGTCTCCCTAGAACCTGTAGGTATCATCCCTTCACTTTTTAGTTCTGAAAATGCTTTTCCTAGTGTTGTTTTCATCTGTTTCCAAATTATTTCAGTAATACCACGTACAATGTGTTGTTCCAAGGTTGATCTGAAGATACATTAATAAATGTGCATACAACACTCAAGCTTCTTTCAGCCTGCCTGGAGAAATATAGGTAGCTAAATAGATAGATGACCAGCATCCAAATCAGGAAGCAGTGACAGAGTGCTAGAGATTAATAAATTCCATCTGGTATAGAACGCCAAGGACAAGAAGTTAGGAGCATTACTTGGTTATAGTAGAGGAATCCAAGTACCAGAGAACCACTAGGTGTTTCTCTAAAAAAAATAGGGGGAACCTGGACAGAGGGAGATTTATGTGAAATGAAAATGGGACTATTTTGCAGGGCAGAAAGCACAGGTTTACATTTACAACGGGGTTGCTGGCAGGTTAAGGCTGGAAAGCAGACCAGGAGCCTTGGAAACTCAAAAGTTAAGATCAGTGTGGAATTCTTTGTTCAAAAACCCTTTTCTGAAACTGTACCTTGGCTGGGAATGATCTCTGTTCGTCCAGGAAAGTCATCTACCCAAACTCAGATCGCCAGGCAGGAGTAGGGCGGTGGACTCCCAGAGGTGGGGCTCTGGACTGCTGAACCCCTGACAGTGTGCCATGTTTGAGAAGACAGTTTTTTTTTACTTTTTTTTTATTAGTGAAACACCATGAGGTACAGTTATAGACTTATAAATTTTTGTGCTTGGGTTTCAGTTATACAATGATCAAGTACCCATCCCTCCACCAGTGCCCATTCTCCACCACCACGGGTCCCAGCATCCCTCCCACCCCCCAACCCCCCTGCCCTACCCTGCCTCTGTGGCAGGGCATTCCCCCTTGTTCTCTCTCTCTTCTTTTGGGTACTGTGTTTTTCAAGAGAGGCATTGAGTGGCAATCATTCTTGGTCAGCATGCTTCTCCCACCCTGGGAGGATCCTCACAACACCCTTTATTTGGTGCTCTCTTCTCTATCTGAGCTTCCTTTTCCCCTAGCATGTGTGGCTGGCCTCCAAGTCATGGAGCAAAATTCCTGGTACTAATCTCAGCCATTCCTGGGTGTTAGTCTCCCATTTTGTTGCTTTATGTTCCCCAGATGAATGCAATCTTTCTGTGGAGAAGACAGTTTTTTAGCAGAGACTCCCACTGCTATTTATCAAAAGGCGTTTTCCAGGTTTTTCAAGAACAGGTTGTCAGGGAAAGGCTTCCTGGCTGGAAGCAGTGGGCAGAGGTCACAGAGAGCAGATGGGATCTCAGAGAGGCAGGATGAAAATCCTGGATGGGGACAGTGGGGAGAGGAAGGCGGGGAGGGGGGGGCAGTGAGGAGCCCCACAGAAATGAACTGGGCTCACCAGTCATGTCAACCCACTAGGGCGTCTCCATCAAAACTGGATCATTGTATAACTGAAACCCAAGCACAAAAATTTGTAAGTCTACAATTGTACCTCATGGTGTTTCACTAATAAAAATTTAAAAAAAAACAAAATAGAACCCAGTGTAGGTTGTCTGGTTGTATTCTGAACCCTTTGCCTTTGCTACCAGATTTCTTTGCCTTTGCTACCAGGTTTCGGGGTGTGTGTGTGGGGGGGGGGGGCTTTATTGACTCCAAGAGGAAGAAGAAAAATTGGAGCTTGGCAACCACTTAGCCCCTAAAAAATTGAGAACTTACTAAAACAAAATAAATAAAGGTTTCAAGATTGCAAAGCTAACAAAATGTCCTAAATATTTCAAATAAATCACTCCACAGTGGTAAAGCGCAGGTCTTAACAAAACCTAGCAGAGTTTGTAGTAGAGTGATTTGAATCTCAATTGCAGTGAATTTGCTCTTCAACTAGATGTGGTAAACATCCACAAACCCATCACCAAGCCTGAATATTTATCGGTCAATTTCGGGGAGAGCTGATTTCTTCCAACCCAAGGGCTTGAGCCGGTGTCATTAGGAGACTCTTTCCTATTTGGGCTGCTGCTTTCTGCATTTTCTGCACAATAAGTGACTCTGATTCATCACAAAGGTTACCATTAGGTAAAATAATCTTGGCTTTTAGATGCTAGGGAGGCGATGATAAAAGCTGTGGACTTTGGATAATGTACATGTGAGAGTGTGCAGTACTTCCTTCATTCAAAATAGCTGCCAGGGCTTCTCTAATCTAAAACCGCATTACGAGATGGAGCGAAGCAGCGGGGCACAGCCCGCAGAGTGCTTGTGCATTATGGAGATTTCACGGGAGGTGACAAATGCGGCGCTGATGGTCTGAAATGGGAGTTATTAATGCAACTTTCAGAAGTTTACTTTCAGAATAAAACATAGCAGTCATTGACTCAGTACAGCTGGTTAAGGAATTCTAGCAATCTGCACGTAGGGCTCGGTCACGGAAGTTCAAAATCATCCCTCAACGGAAGCCAAACTTTTACAATTCTGATGCCCCAAGCCAATATTTTGATTTCTTTAGTAATGGCAAAACACATTCTCCAGTGTGGGCACTCATCACGGAGACTGGGTTTGGGTGACATGTGCCCATGGTTCAAATGAGCTTAACGAGCGACCTTCTCTTCACAGCATCAGCGATCGCATGAGGACCCCGCCGCGCTCAAGTTTAGCTTCTACGAGGTGATCTCAGCCGGGCCGCACGCCCCCTCGGATCTCCGAGTCTTGCAGAAGAGGTGCCTGGTGCCAGGGTGGTACGCCAGCCACATCGAGAGATGGCTCATCTATTTCCCGCCCTTCCAGGTACCAAGCCGGTCACGTACCTCACGTTACCGTCTCTTTCAGTGGATGGGATTGTCTCTAGATAAGAGGAGACTTTTACTCATTCGAACATGACCAGCTTTTAGTGTTTAGCTATAAAACATGAGAGTGCAACGAAGAATAATAGATGGGCGGGGGTAGGGGGCCGGGGATCTTGTTTTGATTTTCTATCTAAAGGCATTTTAGACTAATTTTCCAGCTGTGCTTCCCAGGGCCTCCCCTACGGTGCCATATGCATCACAGGCTTCTGATCTTAGCCTCAGAATAAACTCGAAACCCTTTCAACCAAGCATGCCAAATGTTCTTTTACTTCACTTTTAAAGGCCATTATTTTAAATGGTCCTTGACCCTAAAGACCATTTAATAACCCAAGTCAGGCAAATATTCTTTTACTTAATTTTTAAAGGCCATTATTTCCCTCTGAATCACCTTGCAGATTTTTCCTAAGTCCGATGTTTTCCTTGACTTCCTGCTTCTCTCCTCTGCTTGGCATTAGAGCCTGCACTGGAATGCAGGGCGCTGCTCTTTGGACAAGTGTCACGTCCCCTCTCATAGAGTATCTGGCTGGAACAGAACCAGATACCCATTCCTCTTGCCACAGTGCTCATTCCCAGCTGGAATTGGCTCTAATTTTGGTATTTTTGGGGGTACTTTTTTTTTCAATTTTTAAATAGGGACCACCATCTGGTGGTGCCAGGGTGACCCATGGTCACTGCTAGAGAGCTCAGTCAGGTAACAGGCCTAGGGATTTGCTGCTGTGTCTTAAAAATGTCAAAGGTCAACTGATGGTTCCAGGATATGGGGGGTAGGTGGGGATGGGGCAATGCGGAGAAGCTGGGAAATGAAGCTTCAGAGATAAAAAATCAGGGCCTAGGCACCACATAACAGTATTTCCCAGGTCCCAGTTTTAATACCGTTTCTGTTTATAGCTCTGTAGCACATTCATAAATTCTCTCTGACCCCCTCCTGAATTTTTGTTTTCTGAGTGGGTGCCTGGCTTCTCAGAAGACCCATGAGTGATGTCACTAAGTGTGATTTATTTCTTGTTCCAGGTCAGTAAAGAGAATAACCTGGTAAAATCTAACAAAGCTGAATGCAAATCCCCTAAGGGGACTTTCATTAAATCATTTCAGGGTGCAGAAACTTTTGATTACACATGTCTCTGTCTTTTTGAAATTTCTTTGGTCATTTAGTTGCTAATTATCGATGGACAGCAGCTAAGGACTGATCCTGCTACAGTGATGGATGAAGTGCAAAAGTTTCTAGGTGTCTCACCGCATTATAATTACTCAGAAGCCTTAACGTAAGTCCATTTTCTAAAAGTTTGGGCAGAAAAGTGGTTTGAAAGAAACTGTCATTTGCTGACGCAGTTGTTGAATTAGTTGTTCGGTATATACTAATTACTTTCCAACTTGAATTAACCACATGGGAAAGAATGTCTCAACATTATTACAAAGAACTGTCCTAAATCCTCTACTGATTCCTAACCCTGAGAAATTTCCCCTGGAAGGGAAGCAGAAAAACAAAACAATTGTAAATCTCAAGCCTATTTCCTTACATATTTGAGTGGTACTGGGGTTGAACCCATGGAGTCATACAGGCAAATAGGAGTCCTACTGCTGAGCTACACTGTAAGTACCAAGGGATGATGAAGCAGATAACTGAATGGTAACTGAGAGGGCAGAGAGAAACTCATTCCTAAGACAACGTCTACCTTTTCCTCCTCGTCCTGGCCTGCTTCGAGTCTGACCCTGGGGTCTCTCTCTTACAGGCTTCCACACTTCAAGTTCTGCTTGAGTTTCCTTTTACTGGTTGTCTCTGACTTTCTTGGAGAAGGCTACTTTCTTGGGAAGTCAGGAAAGGTACTAGGAAAGGTAGTAGGAAAGTCACATTGAGGTCTAAGGTGCCCATCACTGACAGCAAAGGCCACTTGAAATCTCACTCACCAGATGCCTCTCAGGCCTCAGCTTAATCTTGACCTCGGGTTTCATTTAGCATTTTAAACAGGCCTCTGGTTACTTGGTCCACTTATAATGGCTGGTCATAATATTATGAGGGTTTTGATTGTTTCTATTTCACTTGACAGAAGATTCTAAGTTGAATTGGGTTATGGGCCTGACTCACTAATTATAGATATATTTTTAAAATGTTAAGATTACAGACTGATCCTTAAGGAAACTGATGGTACTGGGGCCATAGCAATAAGACAACAGGTAGAGCATTTGCTTTGCATGTAGCCAAGCCAGGTTCAATCCCCAGCATCCCATATGATCCCCTCAGTGCAGAGCCAGGACTAAGGCCTGAGCACAGTTGGGTGTGACCCAAAAACAAAACAAAACCAAGAAAGAAAGAAAGAAAGAAAGAAAGAAAGAAAGAAAGAAAGAAAGAAAGAGAGAAAGAGAGAAAGAAAAAGAAAGAAAGAAAGAAAGAAAGAAAGAAAGAAAGAAAGAAAGAAAGAGAGAAAAAAGAGAAAAAGAGAAAGAAAGAAAAAAGAAAAAGAAACTGATGGTATCATGAGAAATCCTATTTTATTTCTCTGTATAAAACTCAATTTTTTAGGTCAACTTATTATCCCTTTTCATTGTGCTGTTGATTTTGTAGCAATTTAGGAATTGAGACAAATTTTCTTTTCCCTTTCAGCACAGATTTCAGACAAAGATTGGCAAGGCTACAACAAACACTGCTTACATTTTGCACAAATCACACTTAGAGGCACTTGTGAGACAGACATTTTGGTTTAGGAGACAAAGTAGGTGTAACTTGAGGTTTGAGCTTCCTTTCTAAGTGTCATTTACTCTGTTGTTACTATTAGCCCTCTGGCCTCTGCAGTTTCCACAGGCAGGTACCATTAGAGCTTTGCAGAGCTTAGTTCAAGTGCCACTACAGACAGTAACCGTAGGTATTTAACTTTCAGCCTGACCTTAAAGAATGCTGTGTGATTTCAGTTTGTAGTTAGAAATTCAAGTCCACTTTCTGCTTTATATTGTTTAAAGTGTCTCTTAGAAAAGAAAACTTTTTATTTTCTCAACCACTTTCTCTTTCAAGTTGGCTTATCTTGGGTCTTTTTTTAATAGATCATAGAGCAAAGCATTGTATTTCAGGTGAAAGTGGAGTATTCTAGGAAGACAGAATCTTTTTTTCTTGTGGAATGATCCTTGACCTACATGCTGTGTATTTGTCCCCTTTGTATTCGACTTGACAGCAAGCTTTTCATCCCCCTCCACTGTGGAGGAAAGGCAGTGTAAACTTGAGAGACAGGGTATCAAAGCAACATTGTAAACACAGAGTACCGTGGGTCACTTTTGTCCCTGGACACATCTGCCTACAATTACCCGGACCATGATTCTCTACCCTGGCTGGGGGCACACTGCAGGATGCAGCAAGATAAGACACATGGAGTCTCTGAAGCCACAGTTTATGGTTTCAAGGCTACCCAGATGCTCATCCCGCTGATAGAGATCAAACACTGCCATTCAGGTGCCTTTTATGCCATCTTGTCAGTCATCGGTAGGTCTGACATACCTTGTAAAACCCAGCAGCAGAGAAAGTTGTGGAATACTTTGGTTTCATGTCAGCCTCTTAGGTCTGAATTGATCCTCCTTCACCCATGCCCTCTGCAGTTGCTCTTAATCCTGCCCTCCTAATTCAGTTACTCTTGCTAGAGAAACTCCTGGGCATTGTTTCTGGGATGGATGGGGCAAGGGGGAGAAGGACCTGGTGATTAAAATGGAGATTCTCAACAATGTTACCTATTATTTCTAATTTTCCCTGCCATTGATAGTTAAGACAATAACTTTGATGATACTTTTCTTAAAATTAATTCAACGTCCTTCAGATGTACAGAACTGCAAACAGATTTGAGTACAAACAGCACGGCACGGTTCTCCCGTTGTTCATCAATTTGCTCGAGCGGGCCCAATAATGTCTCCATCATAAGACTTGTTGTTACTGTGTTTGGCATACTGAATATGTCACAGGTAGCTGTGTGGGTGAGATACTTTCGGTAGCTTGCTGGGCTCTACGAGAGGGGCAGAGGAATCAAACCCAGGTCAGCCAGGTCCACTGTGTGCAAAGCCTTTGCCACTCACTCACTCCAGCCCACTCACAATAATATTTTTAATTAAATTAATTTGGGCTGGAGCAATAGCACTGTGGGAAGGGCATTTGTCTTGCATGCAGCCGACCCGGGTTTGATTCCTACGCCCCTCTTGGAGAGCCCGGCAAGCTACCAAAAGTATCCCACCCACACGGCAGAGCCTGGCAAGCTACCCATGACATGAATACAAAACCAACACATAAATCCATTTCTTTAAAGACTGGGATAAATTAACAAAACTAGGCCTATACAAAGGTACAGTCTTGGCATGAAAGAATAAGCACTCAGAGATCTATAAACTGATGAGTTAAACTTAAATGATGGTATTTGGATTTGAACTTTAGTTGTACTGTTTGCAATTCAATATTCACCCATGGGAACATTATTTCAATTGAAAGACTTTTCTATAATACTTTTTGGGAGAAGGAGGAAGATTTGTGTCTTACCCTGTGGTGTGGGGCTACTTCCTGATTTTAGTCTGGGAGTCACTCTGACCAATACTTAAGACCCTGCAGGGTAGAGAATCGAACCAAGACTGGTCATAAGCACAGCAAGCAGCCTAACCCCAGAACTATCTCTCTGGCCTTTTAAAGCATATTTTATTTTCCAAATAGAATCTTTATATCCCCAAGATTCACCCACAGAGGCATAAATTTGCAATCACATTTGCATTAATATAAATGTTACAACTTGGAGGCTAAATCATTGAGAATGCTAATGTCCTTATTCATAAATCACTTCCACTTGTTTCAAAATATCCATAAGTGGTAGTTCACACAAATTCTAAGAACCATTCCATTCTTATTCCACTCTTTATTTCAGCAGTTTTATTGAATGGCCATGAAGTACCAGACTCTGGGACAAGACCAGCCCTGTTCCTAGGAAGGTTAACTGCAGAGAACTACACAACATATAACACTTCCTCTACAATGCTGACTTCCTGGGGGGCAGAGACATTCAGCATTTCAGAGGTGTGTCCTGCACATGCCCACCCAGGTTTAACCCCATATGGTCGCCAAGTCCCATGGGGAGTGACACCTCAGCACAGAGCCAGAGTAAGCCCTGAACACTGCCAGGTGTTTACCCTCCCAAATAAAATAATAATAATAATAATAATAAATAAACTGTCTGCTTCCCAAAAGCCTTTAGGAAGGGCCTACACCTGACAACAACTCCCAGTGTCTTTAGAAAGCTGTTTGTTTACTGCTCTACAGCCTGTCGGTGGCACTGAAGTTGATCTACAAACACCCCAAGCAGGTGCAGGAAAAGAGCTTTCCCCCCCCTCCCTCCTGTGAAATTGCTTTAGTGGTCAGTGGCTGAGGCTGGAGCGATAGCACAGTGGGTCAGGCGTTTGCCTTGCACATGGCCGACCCAAGTTCAATTCTCAGCATCCCATATGGTTGCCTGAGCACCGCCAGGAGCAATTCCTGAGTGCAGAACCAGGAGTAAGCCCTGTGCAATGCCAGGTGTGACCCAAAAAGCAAAAAAAAAAAAAATTAATTAATTTAAAAAAAATAATGGTCAGTGGCACAGTAGGTATGTTCTCACACTAATGGGTCCTTCAACACCAGTTTTCTTCAGTCTCACCTTAAATCACCTTGGAAGTGAACATGATCCCTTCCCGACCTTCCTGCCATTTCCTCCCGGAAGCACAGTGCTGCTGCTGAACATATGTAGACAGAGCCAAAAAGAGATGCCAGAACATACATACAGACACACACACACACACACACACACACACACACACACACACACGGTTCTCAATAAATCCCAATATAACAGTATGCTGCTTGGGAGCTGACTGATTAGCAGAGAAAGAAAATTCCATTTTTATTCTTAATTTTTAACATAGTGCAATTTTTCTGAATGCAATATTCTGCCAGAAGAATGCTCTTTTTAACAGAGGCATATATTGTTCTGGACAGAAATCTACAGCTAGGTGTGTCAAAAGCAAAAACAGTATGAATGGCTGGTCAGTATATTGAATCTTGTTTAGTTAAACACTTAAAGTAAATCAGAATTCAATTGTGGAAGAGATAATGACAAAATGTTACAGGAAATGTCATACTAGATCTTTCTGTTTTCACCTACAGATTATTTAAGATTATTTAAATAATGTAGTTTTAATAATCTTTTGTACCTCTAAATATAGAACTATTCATTTCCCTTGCTGATTGAAATAAGACTATAGACAACATGTGAAACCATATCAGATTATGTTCTTATCTCAAACAATTGCTTTAATAACAACGATTAACTGGCTTTATGTAAATATGATGAGAGTAATCTTGCTATCTCTAACATCCAAAATCATACAGAGGTAGAGATCTGGGTTTTCTTTTCATTCTGCATTTTCATCGCTGCATTCTTTTTCAAGACTATGCTCTAATTCATACCAAAACAGTCATGTACATTGAATTGCAGTGTAATCTGGGGAAGAATATCTCCCAAACTAATGATGCTCAGCACAGTTCCATTTGTTTCACAGTCCTATTGTGTTCTTTCAGCAGGTAGCCCAGGAAAGAGGGTGTTAGCAGAAATGGGTCCCATCTCCTAGCACCCAATAAAGGGTGTTGGGAGAATCCTCCCAGGATGGGAGAAGCATGCTGAAAGTAGACTACAGACCAAACATGATTGCCACTCATTGCCTCTTTTGCAAACCACAACACCCAAAAGGAGAGAGAAAACAAAAGGGAATGCCCTGCCACAGAGGCAGGGTGGGATGGGGGGGTGGGGGGGTGGGAGGGATACTGGGATCCGTGATGGTTGGAAATGGGTACTGGTGGAGGGATGAGTATTTGATCATTATATAATTGAAACCCAAGCACAAAAATTTGTAAGTCTACAACTGTACCTCGGATCGGGGCTGAGCACTCTCCACCCAGATCCTCCATATTTCAGTAGGCAGGGGTCACACCCACCAACTGGCCCCCTGGCGCCATGTAATACCATCAATGGCCAAGACCCAGAGACTATAAAACCCAGCTCCCGGAAGCATGCGGCCTCATTTGCAGCCGCATGATATCTTATTATCTCATTCTTACTTTGGACAAACTAGCAGGCTCCTGAATGTAACCTGCCCACACGGCAGAGTCTGGCAAATTCCCCGTGGTGTACCCAATATGCCAAATACCAGTAACAATGATGGGTCTCATTCTCCTATCCCTGAAAGAGCCTTGAATATGGCACTTTTTAAAAAAAAATCTCAGGGCTAGGATGAAGGAAACGTTACTGGGGCCTGCTCGAGGCAATCGACGAACAACAGGATGGTCGTGATCGTGATCGTTGTGTTCTTTGATGAAGACTCTTCTAACATTGTATTCAATTTTTTAATCTTTTCATCAATTATACATTCTTAATACAAGTTCTACATTACATATTTCACCCAGTAAATGGCTTCTCCTCTCATTGTCTTAAGTGTCTTTTGACAAGCAAAACTTTTATATTTGATATAATCCAAATTACCAATTTTTCTTTCGTTACTAATCCAAAGAAATCTTTGCCTAATTCAAGGTTATAAAAACTTTTATTTTTAGAATTATCATAATTACAGCTATGATTCATTACATCTATGATCTACTTCAATTTTTAATATATTACAGTATAAAATGGTCTGGAGCGATAACACTGCAGGTAGGGCATTTGCCTTGAACACAGCCGACCCAGGTTTGATTCCTCAGTCCCTCTCAGAGAGCCTGGCAAGCTACCAAGAATATCCTGCCCACTGGCAAGCTCCCTGTGGTATATTCTATATGCCAAAAACAGTAACAAGTCTCACAAAGGAGATGTTACTGGTGCCCACTTGAGAAAATCGATGAACAATGGGAGGACAGTGCAGTGCTTTTGTGCTTTTGGTGCACAGATCTTATGCACAGATATTTTGTGTCAGATCACCACTGCATATTTTATTTTTAGGTAAAGGTAAAGGTAAAGGCCCTCCCGTTGATCGTTGATTTGCTCGAGCGGGCCCAGTAACGTCTCCATTAGAGACTTTGTTGTTACTGTGTTTGGCATATCGAATACTCTCGGTAGCTTGCTGGGCTCTCTGAGAGGGGCGGAGAAATCGAACTCGGGTCGACCATGTTGGCCGCTTGTAAGGCGAACGCCCTACCCGCTGTGCTATCGCTCCAGCCCTATTTTATTTTTAGGCAGTTAAAAGCGTTTTTATCTCACTTTCTAATTCTTCATTGTTAACACTCTAATTTGTCGGCCTCTCCTTTCTCATCCTTCTCAGTACTGCCATGTCGGTGAAGCCTTCAGGGTCAGGTGAATGAGACCAGTTGTAGTTACTGGTTTGGGCATATCGAATACACAACGGATAGCTTGCCAGGCTCTTCCAGCGGGCGGAATACTCTCGGTAGCTTGCCAGTCTTTCCGAGAGGGATAGAGACTTTTGGGGCGACCTCTAATCATCCTTGTAGGTGTTACCATATTTGAACCCTATCAAATATGGTACGACAATTCCGGAAGATGGGTATTTAACAAGATGAGAACACTATTCAGGTCTCCCAAAGAAGAATAGAAAGAGCTATGCTTGGAATATCACATTTCACTCAAATGAGAGAAAGAATCTGGAGTTCTGACATCCCTCGACGATCAAGAATCAGGGACGCTGTCTCATTTGCCAAGGTGTCGAAAATCAGATGGGCTGGTCACGTAATAAGATTTAAAGACGACCGCTGGACTAGAGCTGTTACTGACTGGATTCCACGGGATGTCAAAAGACCGCGTGGTCGCCCACCTACCAGATGGTCAGACTTCTTCGTCAAGATCATGAATGATCGGTTTGAGGCCCTTCATGTTCCCGGAGCGAACAGATGCCATTGGGCTACACTAGCACGTGACAGGGACAAATGGAGACGTTACTGGCGCCCGCTCGAGCAAATCGCCGACTAACGGGAAGTTAAGTGATAAGTGTGATTAACACTCTAATTGGAAACAGAAATCTGGAAGCAATGTTCTGAAGAGTATAGACTAAAGACAAAAGGATACAGTGGTTTTAAATGATAATTCTTTCTGAGAAAGAAATTATAGCAATAGAAAACATGAAACAACAGAAATGATAACAGATGCCAGTGCTGAGGAACTGTGAGAGAGTACAGGGGCAAAGGTACAGGCCGTGGGGGCGCTGACCTAGTTGGATTCCTGACACCACCTGGCCTCCGCCATTGAGGCTATCGCCCTGGAGGCTGAGTACTGTCAGGTGTGCTCTTGGCAGGCCTGAGTATCACCCAGGGTATCCCTGTGGTCCCCAGCAGGCAGAGCCCAAGAATGACAACATCCTCAAGCCCCAGCCTTGACCCATCAGCCAGGAACAGCCCCTAGAGTCCCACCACTTTGAGAGACCCTCAAAAGTAACTACACTGCTAGTACAGTCGAAAAAAAAAAGTAACTACACTGCTGATTGTTATTTTCACGTTAATATTCAAGCTTTAAAATTGCTGTGGAGGCTAAAGCAACAGCACAGCGGGTAAGGAGTTTGCCTTGCAGGTGGCCGACCAGAGTTCAATTCCCAGCATCCCATATGGAATCCCGAGCACCACCAGGAATAATTCCTGAGTGCATGAGCCAGGAGTAACCCCTGTGCATCAGTGTGGAACCCAAAAAGAAAAAAAAATGCTGTGTATTAACAATGGATGGACTGGAGCGATAGCCCAGCAGATATAGCGTTTGCCTTGCACGCAGCTGACCCGGCCAACCCAAGTTCGAGTCCTTCGCCTTTGATTCCTCCACCCCTCTCGGAGAGCCCGGCAAGTTACCGAGAGTATCTCACCTGCATGGCAAAGCCTGGCAAGCTACCCATGACGTATTTAATATGCCAAACACATTAACAAGTGTCACTATGGAGATGTTACTGGGCCCACTCAAGCAAATTGATGAACAATGGGAGGACAGTGACAGTGACAGATTAACAATGGATGATGCACTGTCACTGTCCAGTGCATCATCCATTGTTAATACATGGCAATTTTCTTTTTTTTTCTCACAATGGATGATAAGACAGAATATTCCCAGAGACAGTGAAAAATAGAGGGCCTGTGCCTAGAATTAGGAGGCCCCGTCATGCCCTGAGTACTAAAAACTGTAGTCAAAGTGAATAGATCCTGACACATATTGTCTCTGAAAACTCCTACACGAACTATAATTAAGACTTATAACATAAACTCAAATGTAGTTGGAAAACTAAAATATAAATTTAATGTGCAGTTTATAATTTGTATTACAATTAAGCCAGGAAAACCCATGTTTATAAATGCTGTTATTTTATTACATAGCTCAGACCAAGAGAAAATGTAATGGATTATAGCTAAAGAGTCTTCAAATTAATCCTTCATTGTATACCAAAGCTTCTTATCTTTTATTACCCTGTAAATCTATGGTACAAGTACTATGCAAGTCCAAGGATATGGATAAAACCTGACTTTTCACTGTTAAACCCTACAAAGAAAAAAAATGGACTTTAACTTTATAAAAAAGTTTTCATTCCAGAAAGTAGGCCTATTAATTTCTATTAATAGGAGACCTTCTGCTGACAACATTTCTATTAGGAATCTGGCAAACTCACAAATATGACAGATGGATTGAGAATTCAGGAATGTGCCAAAAGACTTTATGTAAAGGAATATAGAAAAAAACAAGAAAGTTTGTTTCCCTTGTTAGATATTGAGGTTATATCCCTCACCAACCCTGTGGGGCAAATGATTTAGGTCTATTATATCTTATAACTTACTTGAAAATATTTTTTGTTCATTCGCACCTTTTTTAGGTTTGATTCTCATAAAGGTTTCTGGTGTCAATTGCTGGAAGAAGGAAAAACAAAATGCCTTGGAAAGAGCAAAGGAAGAAAATACCCCCCGATGGATTCTGATGTAAGCATAAAGCTTAAATATATAAACTAAGCAAAATGACTAATATTATTAGGGGTCTTTTCTCAGTAAAGTGGTTACGGGCTGGAGTGATAGTACAGAGGGGAGGGTGTTTGCTTTGCATGTGACAGACCCGGGTTCAATTCATCAGCATCCCATATGGTCCCCCGAGCATTGCCAGGGGTAATTACTGAGTGCAGAGCCAGGAGTAACCCCTAGGCATTGCCGGGTGTGACCCCAAAAGCTAAAAAAATGAAAGAAAAAAAAAAGAAAAGTGGTTAAAGTCAAAATTCAGTCTGTCTAAAACTTAAATGTGACATTTGGATTTCAACACAACTAGGTTGCTTGTTTTGATTTTTCCAATGATATATTGCCTATCATGCAACAATAGAATCTGCCATTTTAAATCAGAACAAAGATGGCAACAGCTCATTCCAAATCCAATGATACACCTACATATATTTTACACAAATAATGTTTACTGAAACCAAAATAGAAAAAGTATACACTGAAAATGGAGAACAGGATCCCAAGATTTCTATTTTATTTTCATTAAGTCTGTCATATTACAATCGGTGTACATAATGATATTAATTACTGTCATGCTGAGCTTTGAACTGCTAATGTGCTAAACAGATAAGAGAATATATTTCCCAGGTGTCTAACACAGCAGCAGACACCGAGGACTTTGGAGGATGGAGATGCATACACTGCAGTTTGGCTTTTCATTTTATCCTGTTCAGGATGGTGGGATGGCAATCACTGAATCCTATTCACAGTTTATAGACTCTGCTTCCACTTAATGCTTGTATAACATCTATTTATATCACTGAGTTCATAAAAAGTACATCTAGCATACTGTTTGAACATGACAATGGCACGTAAATGATTTGTTAAAACTTTAACTCAGAAGTTAAAATATCATCAAGGATATCATTCCCATAATGTTTAAAAGAGGATATAAACCAAAAGTCCTGTAGTGTGTTGAGAATCCAAGATTGTCTAAAAGGACTTGAATGGGCGGGAGCAATAGCACAGAGGGTAGGGCATTTGCCTTGCACATGGCCAACCTGAGTTCTATCCCAGGCATCCCATATGGCCCCCCGAGCACCACCTGGAGTAATTCCTGAGTGCAGAGCCAGGAGTAACCCCTGAGCATTGTCAGTGTGACCCAAAAAGCAAAATAAATAAATAAATAATAGGACTTGAATGCTTTCACTGTTTATTTGTTTGGGAGCCACACCCAGACTCAGACAGACTCGTGGCTGGGGGTGACTCCTGGTTATACTCAGGTGACCATGGATTCCCAGGTTCTAACCTGGGCCCCTCCCATACCAGGCACCCATGTAGCCTCTGGAGCCGTCCCTCTAGCCTATGAAGATTTTTGAATACTTTAGGACTTTGGTAGGCTTTATGTTATCCAAACCTGCTAGAGACAAAAGTTGTCCTCACTGAGCTTACACTTAAATTCTACCTAATGGCAAAGGGAGGAGGGTTTCTTCTTGCTGTTTTGGTAAACAAATAAGAGTTGAGGAAAAAACTCACCCATGGTATCCTATCTTGCACCCAGGTTTATCCCTGGCACTGAAAAAAAAAAAAAAGACAGAATAACAAAAAAAAAAACCTTTACAAGTAGGGTGCTTGCCTTGCACATGGACAACCCAGATCGATACCTGGCACCCTATATGGTCCCCTGAGTCCCTCCAGGAACCATTCCTTAGTGCAGAGCCAGGAGTCAGCCCTGAGCACCACTGAGCCAAACACACACACAAGAAAAATGTTTGACAGACAACATTCTCAGAACTTCAGTTCTCTGTGGTTGATTATAAAATGTGTCTTCAGAGCATTCTGAAAACATTTCTCACATATGAATAGAAATTACCGAAATTCAAGGACTGTTTTCACATTACTTCAAGAAAATAACATGAAGTATTTTATTTCTCCTTATGGGAAAGCTATTTATACATTAAAATTCTTGAAAAATATTTTATGTATGTTTCTTACTATCATTTCATTTCCTCTGTTTAGCAAGCATACATACTGGGGCAAATATTAAATTTGGTAATAAAGATAAAACATAAGTTTTAAAGAAATCAATATATCTATCCTACTTAACCCCTCAGATCTCTTCTAACTTTGATACTTCTGATACTACACATATGGGTTCTCCACGCCAACGTTCTCCCATTTTCTTGAGATACAAACTCAGTTTCCTATCGGTTGATCAATTCTGATTCTCACAGCCTGGAGTTAGTGCAGACCACAGAGGTGAAGGGCTCAGTCCTACAGGCCCACAGAGCCACAGAGACTCCAAAGTAAATGGTGGCTTCCCAGGTTTCTGATACTTCCAAACAAATTGCCGAGAAAACCCGTGGTTGCCACGACTCTATTAGCAGGTTGGAATCCGCAACAATAACTTTTCAGAACACAAGCACATACTTTACTTACTATTATTTGGGAAACTATTAATTATAAAGGGCGCAAATGAACAGTCAGTGGAGAGGTGCTTAAGACAAGACCCAAGTGAATTCAGAGCACAGTTGTTTCTGCCCTGTGGACTTCTGCTATAAAGCAGTCCACACAGGGGTGTGTCCATTAACACAGCAGCCTTCCAAATTCTTTCACGGGGGGCTTTCATGAGGGTTTCATTATACGGGCCTGGTGGATAGAAACATTGGTTGACTGTCAGTGATTACTCAAGCCCTTTTCTCCCTTTTGTGGGGATCAGAAGGTTGAGCCAAACACTCCCACCCTCTGATGAAGGGTTTAAGCTCCTCTAGTTCTCATTCACCATCTAAAGCTGTGAGGGCATCACCGAAAGTCATATTATGAGCATAAACTCACGTATGATTTATAAGGGATTATTATAAATAGCAAAGGAAATTCTTCTCACCCTTTAACTCAGGGAATTCCAAGGCTTAGTTTTGTTTGGGCAAAGAGCAAATGTACATTAGCAAAATTTCACGATGTTTACATATAGACACATTGTAAGAGGTAGAGGGCTGATTATATACAAGTATTAAGTTTCCAGGGAGGAAAAAGAAGGAGGCTTCATAAAAGTGATCAACACAAATATGTGGAACATACTAGATTAAGAGGAACTGTCACAAGCTAGCTGCCTCTCCTCCTAGTAAAGAAATTTCAAATATTATACCTCAAGATTAACAAACCATCACAGGATCCTTTGAAACGCGATGAATCATGAATGTTTTGGGTCTGACTTTGTTCAGCAAAATACATTCCATCAAAGGAACAGAAACTGGCATTTTAAAAACAACACCACTAAATCTATTGTCTCTGCAAATCAAAAGCATATAACATAATTAATTAAATAACAGGGGCAGAAACAGCCTAACCATGACTTTATTATATGATTCTTTATTATCTGTTTGAGGGATGGGAGGTGGTGTTTGGGTCACACCCAGCAGTGCATGGCATCAGACAGCCCTACCTCCAAGCTTGGTACTCAGGAGACCACGTAGAGCCAGGGATCAAACCTGAGGCTCCTGCATGTGTTCCAGCCCTCTTCCCTAGCTCATTATTTTTTTTTAATAAATCACATTCTATTTTAAAAGTGAATCTTATTTTCTAACACTATATGATTACCTATAAGTCTGTGTGAATAGTCATGCTACAATGGTGTATATTAGAATCTCAGTTGTTATCTTACCATCTAAATTATTGCTCCTTATCATGGTCATCAGAAAAAAATAACAACTTGCATAAAAAATAATCCTGGTTCAGCACCGAGTTCTAACATAACTATTGCCAGAACACACTATATTCTCAGACAGAGTACCTTACTACAATGAGGGAAGAGCAACAAGGCAGAATTATCAGGATATTCAAGAGGAACTGGACTAGAGACACACACATACACACTTCACACTCTACAGGGTGGGAGTCAGAAAGTCTCCTGCTGCTCAAAGCAGGGGCTCAGTCAGTCAAGGAAACAACAGAATGAAGAGGGTTTGGGATGAGAGAAAGACCTTTCATTCCTAAATTCCAGGACTAGTTAGCAATTAAGAAGGTACCAAATGATCGGGCTCCCAGATGTAATCAAACCCAGAAATAAAATTCATTTCTGCCTTTCTCTAAGCCTGACTGCCAGGTGGGATCCTTAAGTGCTTTTTGAGCTGATAATTGAGGAGGTCTCAGTGATGATAGAGACTGATGCATCAGTCACACAGAGACTGGGGTTCTTCCTTGTCACCAGCAATAGTTAAATTACAGCACAGACATTCAGTCTTATTTCAGTGATCATAATTACTGCAAAAGTCACAGTGATAGGAGCCAGAGAGATGATACGGTAGATAGGGTGTTTGCCTTGCCTGCAGCTGATCCTGGTTTGCTCCCCAATACCCCAGATGGTTCCAAGTCCCACCAGGAGTGATCCCTGAGTGCAGAGTCAAAAGACCTGAATATTGCCCAGTATGACCCAAAAGCAACCTCCCCCCTCCCCAAAGAAAAATCAGTTACATAGAAATTATGAAGATTAAATGAGACTACTTTCTCTGGCTTTTAAAATACAATGTTACATATAACACAAACAAAAAGCTCGAAGAATTAATCAACTTCTAAATGTTTTACAACAACAACAAAAAAAGTTCATCTCAGAACTGGATGAAGCATAGAGGCATAGATAGAGACGCAAGAAACACCCGTTCACAATATTCCTACCAATGGTCAGCCAAGCTGTTTCAGAAAGTTCCAGCACCAACTGTTTATTCTTGGAAAGTGCTGAGGCAAAGGGAAAGAATACGCATACACAATAAAATAAGATCCTCAACACTGCTTTGTTCAGTGTCACCTATGATCTCTTTCTCCTTTATATTATAATAAAACATCACTCAAAGAACATTATTCAGGAACCCGCTGTCAAAACCCAAATAACTGCCACCTTACAGCACAGCCCTTTCCATTTCTGACCATTTCTGTTATTAAAATATTTGTCTTTGGGGCTGGAGCAATAGCACAGCGGGTAGGGCGTTTGCCTTGCACGCGGCCAACCCGGGTTCAATTCCCAGCATCCCATATGGTCCCCTGAGCACCGCCAGGGGTAATTCCTGAGCACAGAGCCAGGAGGAACCCCTGTGCATTGCCGGGTGTGACCCAAAAAGCAAAAATAAAATAAAATAAAATAATGTATTTGTCTTTCCTGAAGGGAAATCGACCTCCCTATAAGGTCATACATTCTTTTCCTCCCAAACAGCATAAATATAATAAGGTTTACATTTACTTACTGCATTTTTAAGATTGGTCTCAGAGCAGAGAATATTTTATACAGCCCTTCCTTAAAGACATAAGTATTACTTTAATAATCTAAATTAATGATGACAAAGAAGTATCTTTTATTATAAATTTACTAAATTAAGCTAAAATGACTTCAATGGGACATTCTATTCAACCCAATCCTGGGTTCCACTGTTTTTATAGCACCTCAGATTATTTATTCTGCACAAGTAAATCACGTTTAATACTAATGTCCTTTCCTATTTAAAACAGTCTATGTCTGCACAATGCATACTTTGAAGAACAATTAATTTGGAGGCTTCATAAACAGTCCACACATTTACACTTGTTGCAGCATCTGATGCAAAGGTAAACATCAGCAGTTATGTGAAGTACGTTAGTAAAGAAAATGTCCTGTTGTTCCCTCCACCCCCCAGAGCAGAGCCTTTCTTTCAAGCTACTACCGAGACCACAACGTGGAACTGTCCAAGCTTCTGCACAGACTGGGGCAGCCCCTGCCGTCCTGGCTGAGACAGGAGCTGCAGAAAGTGAGATAGCATCACGAGAGAACGTCGGAGACACCTTCCGCCCGACGCTCACCTCACCCAAAGCTCCCGGAAGCTGCCCCAAAAGCTGCCGAGACATATACCTCTTGGAATGAGAAAAAAGAACCAGTCCCTTCCATATGCGGGCATGTGGATGATCAGGAAAAGGGAAGAGGAAAAGTGTCTGTAATAAGGCCTTGAAGTCCACGGCCGTCCTCGGACCCCAGGTCTGAGCCAGCGGGATTATTGTAGAATACCGTGAGCTCATGTGGGCGTCCGTAGCAGCCAGTATAAAGTGATCAGACACAAATGCAGAACTGTTCCATTTGGTAGTGATATTTACACTTTTATATCTCAAGTCAGATTGTGTCTCTGTAGCTTTTTAGACCACTGTTTGCTTGTAAAATGGTTTATTCTTTGATCCTATAAAGTGTCCTACAAAACAAGAAGCAAAATAAACACCACACTGGAGCATAAAATGCCAAAGGCATCACACCCATGAAAAATGCTTGCCAAACTCTAAGCCTACTGAAGTATTTAGAAAGAATTATAAATCACGATTTGTACTAGATCAGAATGGAAATGTTACAGATGGCTTTACCTGCTCCAAAAGAGACATTGTGGCAAAAAAAAGTGAATTTTCATATAATGTATTTATGTAAAACTTACTAACTCCTCCATCATAACTACTACACTGAAATATTTATTGTAAAGCTGTTGGATGGTAAATAGAAACAAAATAAATACACCAAAACAGTAAATAACTACATGAAGCATACTGGCGAAAGCGCCTGATGCTTTATCACTGGCAATTTACGTGCCCTTCCTGTGAACTACATCTCTGCTCCAGGAATCCTGATTCTACAGAAACACTAGTACAGAATCTGAGTTCATCTCTAAGTGCAGACTGCCTTTTAAATGTGAATCACTTTTTTGTAGTAATTTTCAGAACGTAATATAGTAAGTGAAAACAAAGCAATTTCTCCATGTGGTAAATTATTTACATTTAAATTATTTAAAAACCTCTATTTCCAGGCTGGGGAGAGAGAATAGCATGTAGGATGCATGCCTTTCATATGGCCAACCTAGATTACATCCCTAGGACCCCACTGGACCCCTCAAGGAGAGATCTGAATGCAAAGCAGAGTAATCCCTGAGTACTGCCAGGTTTGGCACCCCCAAAAAAGTCAAGATGAGAATCATTTAGACAAACATGTAAACTCAGTCCTCTTCCTGACTACAGCCTATTTTGAAGCAGCAGCTGCCTGCATGCTCAAAAATGCTCATGATCCTCCATCTCCACTAACTTAGGAAATTAGCTTTCAAGGGTCAAACAGTGAAGGGAGGTCTCCTCAGTTATGTACTGTGCCGTTTTTCCATGCTGACAGTAACATTTCTACTGTAAACAACCACCAGCACCACAAAACCTGAGTTATTTATGTTTTAATAGATTAAGATGAGATGATGAAACCGCTAAACAAAACTGTTAAAAATAATAATTTCGGAGTCAAACCAATCCAACTGAACAACTCAACTTTGAAATCAAAGTTAAAAACATACTACATGCATCTACTGAAAGAAGGAAAAGCAAGAATTTGTAGCTAGCAGGTCTCATTCACAGAGCAGGTGTTATGGTACCCTGAGCAGCCAATTTGCAAAGGTGCAGGACCTCTCAGTCATCTTTGAAGCCCTGCCCAATCCTAGAAGACATGCATACTGTCAACATATTCTCCTGATGACTATTATGCCCTTCTCAAAGTTATAGAAATACACATGAGAGGTAATGTGATTTATAGCTAGCTTTGTATAGAATTCCTTTTTCATTGCTTAAAATATGAAACTTCCTCAGGAAGAAATGAAATGCTTATTTCAATGTTTATAGCTATAATATTCTTGTCATTCACATTGAATGAAAATTACTGAAAACCTTTTTTCTCTGAGTTTTTTAAAATAAAAAAAACCTGGATATAATTCTGATAGTAGCATGGTACCTCATATGTACAACAATAAACTGTGATAAGAAAATGAAGTGTTCGGGTCTGGTGATTTTAGGTTTTGATTTTTGTTGCCTGAGATAGAGTGGAAGGTTGAAAGAGAGAACAGAGACCACTGATATAACAGAAAATGGAGAGACACGTGAAAAACAAGTTTAGTAGTATAACCTTTCATAGAGCCTTCTAATAATGTCAGTAAGTTCTTTTATTCAATTCTAATGAAGGTAAAACAGTTTCCATGGAATCCTAATATAAGAAAGTAAGAGAACAGGGTAGCTTTTGCCTAACAGACTTGAGAAATGGAAGGAATCTGCATCTTCCAGTATCTGCTGCCCACAAAATGGTCCTTTCTTTACAACCTACAATACGTTAAGCCTGGACTAGAAAGACAGGAGAGTGGGTATGGCACTTGTCTTAAATGCAGCCAATCAGGGTTTGATCCCCAGAGCTATATATGTTCCCCAAGCCACACTAAGAGATACCCCTTAGCTCAGCAGCAGGAGTAAGTCCTGAGCACAGCCAGATATGGGCCAAAAAATAAAAAATTATACGCATACACACACATAACCTGGAGTTCCTTTTATTAAAAAAAATATCATCATGGATGGCAGGTAAATTTAGATATATAAAAATACTATGCTGTCCAGAAACATTGTTACTACAATTTTGAGGAAATACATTTAAACCCATAACCCCAAGGCTTGCGAATGTGAGGCAGTAAATTGCTCAAATATTTCAGTATGCTGCATGCATAAGACCTGTGTTGAAACACACACACACACACACACACATACTTACTTCAGTATAAAAGCATTTCACGAATTTCAAATTACACTCACGACTCAGGTCTACACTGCCAAAGTGTCTTGTTTGACTCCTCTTGTTTACCACCTAGCAGAGTTTCAGCATGTCCTCCTGGGAATTCACATTTCTGCCCTCCCCACTCACCTCCCAGGTGTTTGCAGTCAGAGGAAGAGTAATGAGTACTTGGATGAAAATATTCAAGAAATTATTTATATATATGCTTGAAATGTCATCTTCTTTTCACCTAAAAGTGAGGGAACTTTTCATTCAAGCTGTTAATTTGACTTCTGAGGATGAAAGCTGATGGCATAGTGAGACTTTGGTTCCATTCCCAAGTATATACAGAATTCGCTTTGCATAAGCATCTCACCTGTCCTACAGCAGCTGGGGCCACTTTCACACGTCCAGTGCTACCACTAGTTTTTGCCATTTACTGCCATTTACTGCAATATGTTGTCTCCAGAAGTTCCTTCTATCTTTAGCACTTTTAATAAACGCCCCAACATAGAATCAATTCGCTCATCATTTACCTTTATGGATTTTAGTGAACCACCCTTTGCACCTTCTTCCCTTAATCCTATGACTACCTCAATCTTTGTATTTTTATTTCTCTGTCTACTTCCATTATTTAGAAAGTCAAAGATTAACAAATCCCTAAAACTGGGACAACCTACATTTTCACCATCCCTTTCAGAGTCTCTCTTAAAAACTGAAGTAATGAAGCATGTCAGTAAGTATTTAACAAGATATAAGCTTGCCAGATTTAGGTCAAATTTTTATCTGACCAGCAATCCCTTTCAAGGAAGTCAAAGCAAATTTCACAAATTTATACACACAGCACACAAAACCTCCAAGATATTCTTTGGATGAATGTAGCTACCCACATTTTATCATACAGAAAATAGAATTAAGGCAAATGAAATGTGAAACATTTGCAAAGCACACAGACTCTGTGACAAATCTTACATAAAACTGTCTGCATCAAGCTGCTTCTTTGTTATGAGGGAGTAAATTAAATGCAGGAAATGCCTGCTGTCCCCACTGCTGATGCCAGAATGCGCTAGTTCAAATCAATAACTGAAATGGAAACCAGAACTTATTCTAAGTTATTATGCATAATTTATACAGTTGGACTAGAGAAGGCTTGTATTCTTTACTCTGTTTGGTAAATAATGCTCTGAATATGATTGTTTTTTGTTTCAACCACCTTAAACAGAAATGCAAGCTTGAAATTTGTACGCTTAGGGTTCTGCCATGTTATTTCAGAATTTATCTCCTTCAAGAAAACAAAAATTCTAAAGATCCACAAAACAATATACCATCAAAACTAAAATCCGCTTGGTGAATTGGGAAACTTAATAAATTAGGTATTTATATATCTGTAGCATGATATACAGATATATATATATATACACATATATACACACACATATATATTATATATATCTGTATATATATTATATATATATATATATCTGTATATCGTTGTTCACCAATTTGCTCGAGCAGGCACCAGTAACATCTCCATCGTGAGACTTATTGTTACTGTTTTTGGCTTTCAAATACACCACGGGTATTGCCAGACTTTGCCGTGCGGGCAGGATCCTCCCAGTAGCTTGCTGGGCTCTTCGAGAGGGGCAGAAGAATCGAACCTGGGTCGACCTGGGTCGGCCACATGCAAGGCAAATGCCCTACCTGCTGTGCTATTGCTCCAGCCCATTTATATATCTAACAAAATAAAAGCCATGAGACTATATTAACAAAATCTCATTCCCATCCAAGAACAATCTGATAAAACTGTCATTCATATCCCCAATTATAAGGCAACTGAAATAGCAAAGAGTATAAATTGGTGATAATGTTTCAATATCCGTTTCTTACTAAATGCCATAGGTGAGCCAGGTTTCTCTATTTCCCTATCTACTCATGAAGAAATGTTCCCCTCCACCAAACCATTTCTCTTAAGCTTTCATTAACATGTGAATCTCCCTTTCTCACATCCCACAGGGCAGAAGTCTGAGATACCTAAGTCAGTCTTTTCCAAAGTGGGCAAGATCACCAGTCTGGGGGAGCACTGGAGAGATCTGAGGGGCCAGACTGGAGTAGCCCGAGATTTAACTAGCATGTGTTCGCTGCTTTGCTCACTGAAGGTAGATTTCCACTGAGCAGTTTTGTTTCTAAAAAAAGTGAGTGATAAGCCAAAACAGTCTGGGAATCTCTGGTGGTAAAGCCGAACACAAAAAATG